TTCCTGTACCGGAAAAATGCTGCAGAAACTGTTGTCATGTTGAACACAGTTTATAAGGACATCACTATAGGAAAAACTCAAGTGCATGAGTGGATTTCTCATTTTTAAAAAAGTGAAATGTTGATTGATGACGAACCTCATTCTGGATGCCCATCAACTTCCTTAAGGACAAACCTGTCAATTCGTAGCTGTGGCAATTACATAATTTCTTATCAACTTGCGAAGGGGTGGAGTCTACCCTGTCAATCAGGTTGCAGCTTGATGACCTCCTTTGGAGGTGCTATGGAGATAAATAACTCACTGGTGGCCAGACCCATGCGCACTCTGCTTGTCTTCTTGCTAACAAGCCGCATGGAGACCCCTGATGGAACCAGAGCCCTGGAGCTGAAGGAGCCACATGGAGACCCATGCCAGTGCTGCATCCACAAGACTTTCCACCCAGTGGCTTGTGATCTACCTGCATTCGATGTCATTGTATATGTTGCTTGCGTCTGAAGAGGAAGTGATATACCGGTATTGGACATATGGGAAAATATTGGACTTATGGGCTTGATCTGGACCGGGCTGGATGCTTTCTTAATGTACAATTACTCTTTGATATGGAGTTCTCCATTACACCCATATGAGTGTCTGAATGTGTTTCTCTAGACAACCCAGACTAACACAGCAGTGCATTTGCAGTAGGTTCCATGAAGGCCAGACTGTTAATGAAGCTTTCTATTGAAAAGTTCTGAAAAGATAGTATAACAATGCGTGACAACAAAGGGCTGACTTGTGGCAGTTGGGGGGCTGGTTTTGCTACCATGACAATGCACCTGCTCACGCAGTCATCAGGTTAACCAGTTTTTGGCAAAAACAGCATGATTCTCTCACCCCACGGCACCTGCCTCACCTGACCTCACTCCACATGAATTCGTTTTGTTTTTGAAAATGAAGAGGGACATGAAAGGACAGCAATTTGATGATGTAGAAAAGGTGAAGAAAAAAAATGAGGAAGGTGCTGTCAGCCATCCAAACAGATGAGTTTGAAAAATGTTTCCTAGAATGGAATCAGAGATTTGACAAATGTATTAAGTGCAATGGAGTGCATTTTGGTTGTTTCAGAAAATAGTTTAAATTCATAGCTTTGAAAAAAATTTTGTATCCTCTCATGTGTGAGTGTATGATATAAAGTCAATTCATATCTATATCTATAATCTGTCTATCTATCTATTATCTATCTATCTATCTATCTATCTATCTATCTATCTATCTATCTATCTATCTTTCGTTTGTTGATTCCAATTCCAAACAACCCTCTAGGACAGAATAGAACTGCACATATAGCTCTTCAAGACTGCACCACTTTGTCTTTCTCCTTTTTCAATAAAGGAGATATATTTGTAGAAGAAGTAAACAACAAATAAGAAAAACCTGCCAAAATTGAAAATTAGAAAGAAGAAAAAGAAAATCATATTGCTTCACCAACTTGGTAGAAACATTGATTTCATTCTGATATAATTTTAAGTGGTTTTATGACTACATGCTGTTTAATATAGTCATAATAATACATATTTGCTACTTTGTTTCTTAGTACTTGAGTTAGTTAATTGTGCCAGCCTGGCCGATAATCACATGTGGTGCTGGTTGAAAGGCGGAGGGATAAATGGGTGGTGAAGCCTCGCCTT